ACCCGGTGGCTACCCAGGCCGGTCCCGGGTCCACCATTCCTGAACCGCCGGCCCGGACCCGAGTACCCCTACTTCAAACCTTTTCTTGATTGGGTAGAGTAATGAGTGGCTATGTCCAGGGATGGATTTAAGGGGGGGCGCGGGGGTGCGACCGCCCCCTTGGACTTTCAAAATTTTCTACTATATATGTAATGTTTTTGTAAAATTTTGATACTTTAATTAGATTCGCTCCCCTTAATTTTTTTGTTGAACATTGTCCCCCTTAACTTTTAGTTTTTAAAGTTGATATATAGTCTTACATAATGTAATACTTAATCGAAGATTTAAAAAAGGAACATCTAAAATAATTTACATAACTTAAATAAACAATAGAAGAACTCATTATTTGAGATTTAGGATACTTATTATATAAAAATTCCTAGTTTTGTAATGTTTAATTATCTTTATTCGATAACTAGTAAACAATTTTGAAAAATATATATCAAACGATATTAAATACCAGACACTCTAGCTAAAAAAGTTTTTAGATCATGTGAAGTAATCCAAATTATAAATGTTTATTGACATTGAATTACACTATTCATTTACTTCTTACATTCTAAAAAGACTTTATTGCATAGATAATAAACTTTAATTATTTCAACATTAATACAAATATAATATGCACTATATATATATATATATGAATTATCAATATAATATTATTCTAAAAATAATAATATCATACATACTATTGTAATATTAAAAGAACTGCTTGTGACTTATGAACACCCTCAATGATAGACAAAAATTGTAATTCAAAAATCATTTTAATAGTACTCGTGAATGTGAACCTTATAAACTCTTTATATTTAAATAAAATGTTATATATCCTTTTTTATTTTTGTATTATTTTCCATTGATTTGTCATTTCTTATGCTTTAATGTATCAATACTTTTTTCTAGAGCACTCCAATTATAAAATTAAAGTTGTTTTGTCATTGTCTAAACTTAGAATGTAATATATAGATTTAAATGTCGTCACGTATGTATTAATGAAATTTTTTTGAATAAAAATAGCCGCAGAGCCTTACACCAGTGAAAAAATTCGCCCCGCAACACTAGAAAAAAAATCCACCCCGCTACACTAATGAATTTTTTATCTCCTACACTAACAAAAATTTTCGCCCCCTTGATTCGAAATCCTGGATCCGTCCCTGACTATGTCTAACAGAGGTTGACACTGAATGATTTTGACATTGGAAAGCCTCTTGGGAGAGGAAAATTTGGTCACGTGTATTTAGCTAGACTAGAGGAAGAGGGTAATGTGGCACTTTTACATGTCCAATATAAGTATTGATTGTCTTAAGATTCTTTCAAATGTAATACTCCCTCCGTCCCTAAATAAAAGCATCTGTTTCCTTTTCGGGGCGTCCCTAAATAAAAGTTACCTTTCCTTTTTTGGCAAACAAAACAGTGCAAAACAGTGCAAAACAGTGCCAAACAGTGCCAAATAGTGTCCAAACAGTGCCAAACAGTACCAACCAAACCCACTTTCTTAAGATGTATGTAAAATGAATGGATACTTTTATATAGGGACGGAGGGAGTATGTGTTGTCATTTCTCTGAGGTTGAATTCATTGATCTTCGTATAGTTTGGTTGAACTGTTGCACTCTTAGTAGAAGATAACTGCGCAGTTAAACAGCGCAGTACATTTCGGAAAATCATTCGACTGATTTTCCGGTTGAACTTTTAGCTGAAATTTGGTATGAGTAAACTAGACTTAATGAAGAAGATGCTCAAAAAATTTCATCAAAACATTCCACCGGGAACCGCCCCAATTAGCGACGGCCGAGCAGAAGCTCCTATATAAGGGGCTAATTGAACACTTTAAATTAGTTCATGTACCTATTTGACCCTTTAGTCTATTATCTTTGAAGATATTGTATGACACACGTGGTAACTTGGAGCAACGATTGGCAAAAGTACCCAGAGGTAATTCTATTACGGTAGATATCGGAAATACAAGCGGTGAGCTCGATTATCCAAAAGTAAAGACGAGGTTGTAAGTCCATCTTTTTCGTATATAAAAATGTTGAATGTCTCATTGACCTTACTTCCTCTCATCATTTTGTCTTTCATCTTCTGATTTGTATTTGAGAATATGAGTAACTTTCCTGGTTTAGCTTTTGAATTAATTACATTTTTCTTTGAAGTTTTTTATTGGGGTTTGTGTATTGCTATACAAAAAAGTAATTTGTAGCAAACACATTTTTTGTTAATTCTTTGGAGCCTCATTTGGGAATTGATATCTGCTTATATTATCCATAAATTTGAAAAAATTGCGTAGGGCTATACTAATCACTCATATTATTCTAAACTATGTTGGTTGTCTTTATTGGGCTATGTAGAGTTATGGTCGTTGGAGGGGTAGAATTTTTAGGCAACACGAAATTTATTGTGTGAAATTATTAATAGATTGTTTATGCTTAGGTTAAGCATAGGTGAACTAAGTCTGCGTTTCAAAATTTCATAACAAAAAAAAATTTCTGAATATTGAACAATAGTATCCATGGGTCATTACTCTCATTGCAGCAATTATAATTTTTTTTTATGAAGATGATCAGGCTTGAGATCGATAGAAAGTCACCTTAGTTAAAAAAGATGAAAGCATTGTTTAATAACTTTGTTTGAGGGGGTGCTAGGTGATTTACTGCACGAACTTCTGAGACAATAGCAAAAGTACCTTGTAGGAATGTGATGAAGTTACCGATAAATCGTTATCAGTAACTTCATTACATTTCTACTTTTTTTAAAAAACCCGGAAGGTAAACCACCAAAATCGGTGAGGTAAATGCTGGGGAACATTTACCAGATTTTATTAGAAATGAAGAAACATTACAATGGAGAGGGGAACATTCCTACATAACACTTTTGATATTGTCTCAAACGTTCATGTAATAAATCGTATAGCATCCCCTCCTGCAAAGTCATTTAAAAGTGGTTCAATCCTTTTTTAGCTGAGGTGACTTTCTATCATTCTAACAAGCCCGATCATCTTCGTGACAATGTTCTCAACTGCTGCAATGATAGTAATGACTAATGAATAGTATTGGTCAATATTCATAAATTTTTTGCTGTTATGAGTTTTGAAACGCAACACTAACTCACCTATGCTTAACCTAAACATAAACAACCAAATCAGTAATTTCACACAATAAACTTTCATGCTACCTAGTATCCTACTCCTTCAATGACTATAAATCTGCATTGTCGAGTGAACATCCAACAAAACTTTGAATAATATGGGTGATTATCACGGCCCTATGCCATTTTTCAGGTACATGGCATCATAAACAGATGTCAGTTCCCAAAACAAGCCATAAAAAGTTAGCCGAATGTGTTTTTGATATAAAGTTTTTTGAATAGCAAGACAGAAACCCCAATAAAAAAACAAACCAAAAAAAAGGTAATTAACCTAAAAGCTAGACCAAAGGCCCGTAGCAGCAGCTTTGGAGGAAAGCTCAAACTAGTTATGTTTTGATATTTCTATGTTGCTATGTTCTCGATGTATTTCTGTTTTTGAATTCCAATGTTACATTGTTCTTCTATTATTAATAGTTAGTATTGGACTCGGGCCGGGCCTAGGGTTTGGGTAATTTTTTATTTTTTTTTGCTTAGCTACCCATCCCTGACCCCCTCTCACCCCCAACCCCAAACCCCTCCTAAACATCAAGCCCAACCCGGTGGAGCCCAAACAAATGAAAAAAACCAAAAAAAATAAATAAATTTGGCCCGAACCGGGCCCGGGCGGGCCGGGCCTTGTTATGGGTGACCCGAGCCCGGACCGGAAACCCACCGGGTCGGGCCTACCCGGACCGGTCACTGACCGGGCCACCGGTTCGGGCCGGACAGGAACAGTACCGGTCCCGAGCCGGTTCCAAGTCCAACCCTATTTATAGTTAGAGAATACGTAGTATCACTTAACTTCCCTTTAATTCTTAATCGATAACCAATTATCTCCAAGCGAACCACACAATACAAATATTCCATAATTGGTTGCTTGTTGCGAAGCTGCTGACATTAATTAACGTGAATAATTGAACTGAAAAAAGACATAACGTAATATATAGGGATGCATTTAACGTGAATAATTAAGAGTTTTTGCGAGAGGTATTTCAAAATGTACCCCATTTTTACCACCCCTAATGTGTGGCCATAAATGGGTCAATTCATTTAAGTGTTGCCACACTTAAATGAATTGCCCTTTTATGGCTACACATCAGGGAGTGAGCGTAAAAATGAGGTACATTTTGGAGTACCTTTAGCATTTGTGAATAATTAAACTGAAAAAAGATATAACCTATATATATATATATATATATATATATATATATATATATATATATATATATATATATATATATATATATATATATATATATATATATATATATATATATATATATATATATATATATATATATATATATATATAGGGTCAATAGGGATGCATTTAAAGATCGGTTTAGACTTTAGATACTTATCGTCCATTTCGTCTTAGAGCTCATTTAGTAGCACAAAAATCGGCTGATTTGGTTGATTCTGCTGAAATTTATGAAGTGTTAGCTGAAGTGGCTGCATTGGCTGATTCTGGTGATTTAAGAAAAAATATTTTTGAAATATATTTTATTAATAAAATAAAGAAAAATTATATGTAAAAATAGCTAAAATGATGTCTAAAGTAAATTCAGCCAATAAAGCCAGAAAAATAACTCCAACCTTACTTTTTCTGCTTATTACACAATTCAGCGCGTGAAAGCAAAAATTACGTGTTTGATGAAAAAGTTGGCTGATAAGCCTGATAAGCTAAAAAATAGTATTGCCAAACCGTCTCTTAATTTAACTTTATGGTCAAACCTTGCCCAATTGAATGATATACTCCAAAGTGGCTTTTTAACTTTTATTTATTTTCTTTCAAAAAAACTTTTATTAATTTGTTTAGTTATTTCTTAAGTAGCCGTGCTCTAACTAATAAACCGTTATACTCTAAAATAATGACACAAATGTTACTCCAATCCTTTTAGTAGATAAAAATATAACTAAATTTCTGTTTGACAAGAAAGTGACCCCTTGACTAACGAAACATCTCGCCTCTTCTGCATCTCCTTCTCCTTCGCACCCCAGCGTGCCCTGCTCCCACCCCAACACCAGCCACATCACTTTCTAATAGTCGAAATCTCCTCTTCCGCATCTAGGGAGATGAAATAGCTTTAACGGAGATGAGAGAGAAGATCTACGGTTGCACCGCAGCAAACCATCCTCTGTCGCATAAGGACGACAACTGATCGATTGCATCCCGTCAAGCTTCCAGCGCACTCAGCTATGAACGGTGGCCATCATCTCCTGGCAATCCTTCCAGCGACGGCGAGTGAGGCGACCCCAACGACGTCGTCGTCGTGTATCTTCCTCTTCCCCTTTGTTCTTCTATCCAAAATCTCGAGCTAGGGTTAAGGCGGCTGCCGGAAAAGGGGGCGGGTTGGTAAGGTGAGGGGGGTTATCAAGTGGGCTTGATTTGGGGTTGCGAAGACTGGGGAGTGCGGCCGTTTCTCATGGGGCTCGGGGTGGGATTTGGGGCAATTGCAGGGGAAGCTAGGGAAAGGACCGAAGAGCTGGGGAGGGGTGTTTGTCTGGGGAAGGGGATTTGGGGGCTGGCATTGACGGTGGTAAGAAAGGTGAGGCAAATGGTGGCGGCCAGAGTTTGTGATACGGCGGCAGTCGAAGTTGGTTGTCGACGATGGCCGGAGTTTGTGGATAACGCGGCAAGTGGCTGGGCTGGGGGCTAGGGAGGGGGCTAGGGAGGGGGCTGGGGGATAGGGGAGGGGATGGAGGTGCAGTGGAGGGGTAGGGGATGAAGCCGTGAAGGGGAGTGGGCTGGGGTGAAGGGAAGGGGGCTGGAGTTGTGTGAGGGGCCATAGGCAGTTTCACATGGGTGACGTGGCGGCGGTGATTTCGAGGCGGTAGATGAGTGATGGTTTCCGGCAAAAAAATTGATAGAGAAAAGTCGGCGGAAAATTTTTCCGACGATACAGTGACATCTGAAAGTGACATGAAAACCGGTAGTGACATTTCAAAAGTGACATAAAAATCTGGTAGTGACATAAAAATCCGACAGTGACATTAAAAATGGCAGTGACATCAAGTTTTTTCAAATATGTGACCGTTTTAGTCACTTTTTTGTCCTTTTATAAAAATGGTCACATTTTTGGAAATTAGCTTCAAATTAGTAATATTCAAGGAAAAAGCCCTTGTACTCTGTACTAATTATCAATTGAACCTGGTTTTATATAAATTTTAATTGTGGACCTCGCCAAAATTATAAAAGATTGACCAACCGTACATTTTATAGGGACTGATAGAAAGACACAAACCCTAATAAAAAAAACCTAAAGAAAAATTATAATAATATAAGTAAAAAAAATCACGTCTGAACTTTTTTATCTGATCTCGATGTTTCGATTTAATCTAAATGTATTTGATCTGAGTCTATATGATCTGATATGAATTTTTCTGAACTAGTTAGATCTGATAAGAATTATTTTGATATGATCGAAATAAAATAAAAATAAGTATAATTTTAGAGATCCTCAATATTTCGTATAACGTAATTTTAATAGTTCTAGCATTATGACAATTAAAAAAAAGTTATAAAACCAAAATTTTAATAGTTGCTAGCTACTACGTATACCGTAATTTTAATAGCTCCTCTCTACAGAAGAGAGTCCTATCTACTCAACTACACACTAGGCAACCGTCCATTCTTACATTTATTTGTCAAAAACTCTATATCCAGTGTTGCAGAATAAGGAGAGAGAAATTGAAACTCTCCTGTTGTTGACCATGAAAAGGAAGAAGAAAGGGAAATTCCTACTAATCCTTCACTCTTTCCATCGAAAATACTTAGACCAATTTCCACAATGGTAGATCGATCTTGGAAATATAAATGGTGCACTTTATTGTCCAAGGTAAGAGGAGCTTGTAAATTCATCCTTTACTTTTATAATGACGCCCGAAATTTCTCATTTTTCTCACTCCATCTCATGCATGTTCTTTCATCTTCTGGTTTTTACTTGAAACATGAGTGGTAGATTTCCTAGTCTAGCTTTTGGGCTAACAACCTTTATATTTGAATTGTGCTTCGTTGCTGCGTATGTTGAAATTTGAAGATGTTATAACAAAAACACTTTTTGCTAACATCGTGGGGCATTAGATGGGGATTGACATCAGCTTATGATGCCATGAACTTAAAGAAAATGCAGATGACTGCGATCATAGCCCACATTATTCTAAACGCTGCAGGGTGTTGTTACTGAGGGTGAGAATTTATTATCGTCGCAAGGGTAAAATGTTAGATAGCAGGAAGGTTTTAATAAAATAAACCTTCATGCTACCTAATATTCTACCCTTGCGACGACAATAAATTATCACCCCCAAAACAACACCCTGCAACGTTTAGAACAATGTGGACTACGATCGCAATCCTCCACTTTTTCTTTAAGTTTATGACATCATAAGCTGATGTCAATCCCCATACAATGCCCCATGATGTTAGCAAAAAAGTGTTTTTGTTCATAACTTCTTTAAAATTCAACACGCAGCAATGAAGCATGACCCAAATAAAAAGGTTGTTAGCCCAAAAGCTAGAATAGGAAAACCACCACTCATATTTTAAATAAAAACCAAAAGATGATAGAAAATAGATGAGATGGAGTGAGGTAAATGAGAAAATTCGGGCGTCATCATAAAGGATGAATTTACAAGTTACTCTTATCTTTGGACAATAGAGTGCACTATTTATATTTCCAAGATCGATCTATCATTGTGGTAGCTGCTCTGAGTACTTTCGATGGAAAGAGTGAAGGATTAGCAGGAATTTTCCCTTCTTCCTTCTATGGTCGAAAATAGGAGAGTTTCAATTTCTCTCTCCTTATTCTGCAACGTTGGGTATAGGGTGTTTGACAAATAAATGTAAGAAAGGACTGCGGCCTAGTGTGCAGTTGCGCAGATAGGACTCTCTTCTGTAGAAAGGATCTATTAAATATACGCGGTATACGTAGTAGTGAGCAGCTATATAAAAAATTCTGGTTCGATATTTTTTTTAATTGTCATAATGCTAGGACTATTAAAATTACGTTATACGGAATATTGAGGATCTCTTAAATTATGCATATTTCTATTTTATTTAGATCAGATCAAAATAATTCTTATCAGACGTAACTAGTTCAAAAAAATTCATATCAGATCAAATGCATTTAGATTAAATAGGAAACATTCAGATCAGATAAAAAAGTTTAGACGTGATTTTTTTTACTTATATTATTATTAATATTATTGTTATCAATATGTTGTTCTTATTATTGGTAAATATAATCATTATTGTTGCTGTTATTACTTGCATATTACTATTTCTTAATAAAATATCATATCTTACTTAGGAAAAAATAGTATAAATATTTCAAACTTTGATGGAGAGTGATATAAGTACACCAAAATTGCATATGTATACCCCTAACTTTATTTAAAAAAGTTATTCTCACACAATAAGTGTGTTTTTTTAATATAAATTTATTAAAATAATTACACAATTTAAATTGCTTTAAACTTTTTTAGGATGCAATTAATATACTATCTGATACATATTTATTATACATTTGTAAAATAAATAATATTATATTTGATACAATTTATTTTAAATTGCATCATCATAAATGTTTTTTGTATTTTATATTATACACACTTAACACCTTAAAATTATATTTGTGAAAAACTATATAATCATAGTGCTAACATAACTTTTTATATATAAAATGTTTGGAGTATATATATTACATGTACAAGTTTGGGGTGCTTTTCACACATTTTTCAAAGTTTGGGATATTTAAAATATTTTTCCCATTTATAGTATTAATTAGGGAAAAATAATTAAAATACCTCAAACTTGAAAGGGTGTGAGATGAGCACCCCAAATATTCATATGTAATTTAAATACCCTAAAGTTTATATAAAAAGTTATTTTAGCACCATAGTTAAGTGTTTTTCCTTTCAAATTTGTAAATTTATGGTGTTAATTACATTTTTAGATATATTTTACAAATGACATGTGATTTTAATAAATATTTCTTATCAGTCAAATGTAAATATTTGAGTGTAAATATTTGAGTGCATCATCAGTCAAATATTTTACAAATGACATGTGATTTTAATAAATATTTGGCAACTCTTCTATTATAAATATATCTGTCAGAGCTTTTATTGGAGTACCATTTTCCATTATTTCACATGGTATCAAGAGCTCTAGCTTTTCAGACACAATTTTTTCTTCTTCTTTTCAGACACAATTTTTTCTTCTCCTTTGAGGCTGAGCGCGGCTGATACGGCGCAGACCACCTTCTTTGCGTCGCTGACCACGGTACTTGCTTCCAGCGTGTCATTGAGTTCGCCGTCTGTTGCTCCCTACGTTCGTGCAGCCCACCTTCTCGGCGTCGTTGACCACAGTGCTTGCTTCCAGCGTGTCGTTGCGTTCGCCGCCCACTACTACGTATGTCCATTCTCTAGCCGAGTTCAGTTTGGCTGCTCACACAGTTGTTCCATAGCGCTACGCCGGTTAGGACTGAGCAAAACCCGAACCGACTCGCAAAATATGAAGTTTTTTGCGGATAATATCCGATTGGATACGGATATCCGATCCGAAAACCTGATACCCCAAAATCCGATTAGTATTGGGCCTAGACCGGGTGACAGGTAGGTTTTGTAAAATCCCAACCGACCCGCCCGAATATCCGAAATACATTAAATTATGTAGTGTGTACTTTGAATATGTTCAATTAATACTTGTGTTCAATTATTTGTGTAATTATTTGTGCAATTTGTGTTAAATTATTTGTGTAGTTTGAATGTGTATTGCACTAGTGTGTACAAATTTTGTCAAAGTGGCATTCCAACACTTTAATTATCCAATTATATTGTGATTTAATATAACCAAAATATATTAAATTATGTAGTGTGTACTTTGAATATGTCAAATTAATACTTGTGTTCAATTATTTGTGCAATTTAAATGTATAATGCATTAGTGTGTATAATTTTTGTCAAAGTGGCATTTCAACACTTTAATTATCCAATTATAATGTGTTTTAATATAACCAAAATATTCGAAACCCGATCCGATATCCGATAATATCCGACTTAAAAATATCCGAAATATCCGATTTAAAATATCAAAGGATCGGGCCTAGTATTTATGTTTAAAATCCCGAACAGGTTAAGGGTCCACAGACCCAACCCGTGCTCAGCCCTAACGCCGGTCCCGCTCTCTCGAGCGACCCTGGCATGCCCATCATCTTCTTTCAGGCCAATTGGCCGTCAGCCGGGATCCTCTCCGCAGCCTACCTCATTCCCTGCTCTTGCTCAAGGTATCTTCAGGGGTCTCCAAATTATGGACAATATTGGCAGCCTACTCCGGCATACATCGGACATCCGGTGTAGATCTACGTCAGAGTTTGTTGTATTTCTTAGTCCTAATCTGGTTTCTTGGAAGTCCTAGAAGCAACCTACTTGCTCATGGAAATCTTATTGCAAAATATGTAACCCCTTAATCTTCTGCTAGCGGATATATTTACTAAGAGCCTTTCTAGTTTGCAGTTTCATTTTTTTAAAAGACAACCTGTGTGTTGTATCTTCTGCACAATTTGAGGGAGTCTAATAGCATAATATCTTTTAAGGAATATGTCTAATATCTATTTAGGAATATTTTGTATGTTGACAATTCTTTTATTATAAATATATCTGTCAGGGCTTCTATTGAAATACCCTTTCTTATTATTTCACACATATTCCAATCTGGTTCGGTTCTGATTCGATTTTCGAATTTCAATTTTTATTATTTAAAACTTAACTAGTTTTTCAAATATGGTGTTACGCTATACGATTCCTTGATAGAATAAGTTCAAAAAAGTATTAGTATAATAAATAATTATTATTCTAAAACTAAGTGCAATATTTAGATAGTTAATACTACCTTTGCCTTCTATTATTGTCCTATTTTCTATTCACTTGGTCAACACAAATCACTCTTAATCTCTTATTTTATATATCAAATTTTTATCAAATTTTATACTGGTTTTTGCGACATTGTAAAGAGTTTAATTTTGTTTCTGAATATGTAATTTTTTTTGTAAAAAAATTTGAGTGCGAACATGAATCTGTTTGCTTTATCATCGGTCAAACATCGTAAACTCCAATGGGACCATATAATAGGGGGACAAAGGAGTACTTATTACTACATTAGTCCCATTTTATTGTTCCGAAAAAGGTTGAATCTCCAACTCCAAGACCTCCTACGCTCCGACCTCACAAAGCTTATGGGGGGTGTAAATCACAATGATTCAATGTGATTTAGACCTTACACTACAAAGCAAGTGGGCCC